ATTATAATGCGATTTTTAATTTTCGTGGGAATTTTTCCAAATTATCAAGAATTTTCTTTGTCGTTGGAAATAAATCTCTGTGGATATTTAACATAGCTAACCCATTTAGCCGAGAAGTAGTATTTTGTAAATAAGTTTTCAACCTTCTCAATTTGAAAAAGGTCCTTTCATTCGTATATGTTGTAATAGGCAAACATGCAAGAATACCTTCAAAATAAATTAAGCCTTTTATACCGATTGAGCGCATCAATAGCATGCTCAGGTAAAATAATAAACGTAGTAAATATTTATACCACAATTCGAATTCACTGATTAAATTGATTTCAGTATCAACATCATAGGAATAAAATTTTGCTAAATATTTAATTATACCAATAATGGCATCAGAAAACGAAGAAGGGTCTTTAGGTAATAAAATTTGAAGATTACGAAAGACTTGTTTTTTATCTAAAAACCGTACTTTAATTTGCGATAAAAAAGTATCTAAGAATGGAATGAAATTGGATATTTTATAAGATTTAATTCAACGTTTATATAAATATTATGAAATATTAACTACATTCATTCTTCCTGTCCACATTTTCCTCCAAATCAATAACTTGAACCAAATTGAAATTTGGTTTTTGTAAATTTCTACATAGTAGTGAGCTATAGGAAAATAATTTATTAATGCAACTAGCAGTAAGGATAAACTCTGCTTGATATTGAAAAATTTTGATGGGGGAGGGGGTCCGGGGGTCGGGGTAAAATTTTTTATTATCTTAAAATAATATTTAGAAAAACAGTCAAATTTGCTATGGGGGGTGAAATTTCCCCCTTCCCCCCCCCCCCATTGCTTACGCGCCTGAAATCAACAATTACTTTATCAGCCAATTTTTGTGAAATATTGGCATGTTTATTATCAGTTAATTTGGTTTGGATAGTATTTGTCTTTTTGAATGAAGATTCTCTTATACCAAAATTTTTTATATGTTTCTTTATTTCCTTATAGCAAATGGCGTGAACAGTCTAATAAAATAAATAATATTATAATGTAAAAATAACAATTTACCTTTAGGTGTTTCTTCAGGTCTCGATTGATTTGATGATATATTTTTTTTACATTTTAAGCACAGGAATTTGAATCTAGATTTTGTTTTAATATTTATTTTAAAATTTTTTTTAAATCTAGGGAATGGGAAATCGTTATTAGAGCTATTAAGTACATTTTCTTCCATTGAATCTTCCATGTCTAAATCACTTTCAAGGATTTGGATATCCATGGGCGATGCCATTTTAGATTATTAACACAGATTGAAAATATAAATTAAAAATTGAAAATATATTTAAATTTCAAAATTAAATAATAAATTATAAAAATTATAATTAATTATGATATTATATTTAAATTCTTATGTTTTTACTTACATTCATTATATTTTTTAAAAGTAGCGCGCTAAAAAATTAAATAATTTTAAAAAAAGTAGCGGCTATTAGCTATAGCTACCAAAAAAGATAGCGCGCTACTTTAACAACTCTGCAAAGTAATATTCTTTTTAATGTGGGGAAATAATAAATTGTCAAAAGGCTATGCAACTTAAATAAGTACGAAAAACTCACATTAGCAATATTTTACAAATAAAGTGGTAAAAATTTTAGGCAAAAAGTCAAATTTATGATTTCTCCATCATCAAATGAAAGAGAAATATCAGGTTTGCCCGTCATTCTTGATGTGATGGGATTAACAGTTTTGTATATGTTATATAAATTACCTTCTTCGTCCATCTCTATCATAAAAGAAATTTCTAAAGTAATGGTCTATTATAAGATAAATTAAAATGGAGTTTCAAAATTTGGCGCAATTTTCATTATTCCACTAGGAGATTTTATTAAATTGAAATAATTTCAAATAATTCCTAATAATAATATATGATTTATATATGATTATTTTCCAATATATTAATACTATTAGTCGAATAATCTCGAATAATTCGATCGAATAATAGATAAAAAATTATTCGACGAATAATATATTTTCCTAATTCGAATTCGATTCGAATTTTCGAATCGAATAATTGTGTTATTCGTATTCGTAAAATACGAATCGAATATCGAATAACAAATAATTCGTTTTAGGTATATGCAAATGGCTCGTTTTAAGTCAATATTTTATTTATAAAAACGTATTTTCTTCTTATATTGAGCTGCGGACCTAAATATCAAAAATACAATTATTAGATTTATTAATTTTAACGTAGAAAAGAGAAATAAGCTATTTTTACTAAAAAATAAAATAATGGTCTAAATAATTTTTTATTTTTTGAAATTACAAAAATTTATTCTCTTATTTTTTTAAATTCTAGAAATTAATTTAATTTAATAAATTTTAGCTAAAAGTTTATAAAGTTGTGGAATTTTTACGATAAAAAAAAGTAAGCAATATTAATTTTATATTTTTCAAATTATAATAATTATGGGCAGTTATACTTATATTAATCAAATCGAGTAGTGAAATAAATAGGAAATATAAAAATAATTTGGTAGTAAAAAATTCTCAAAATGGAAGATTTTGGTCATATTTCATAATTTTATAAAGTTAGACAAATTTATAAATTCTGAGGTTATTTAAATATCACGGCCTTATTAAGATAAGTTATTCACTATTAAAAAACCTCTATTATTTTATATTTTTATATAAATTGCAGCATTTTAAAGAGTTCTTTTTGAGGTTAAAAAATCACAGTGTTATAAAAAAATAATTATAGCCGCATAGGCATATCATAGTTACATTAATTTTGGTAAAATTAATAATTAACCATAAATCCCACGGCTCGTAAGAGCCCAGGCTCATAAGATTCTCATCTCTGCTAATAAATTTCGATCATTTTTAAATGCTTATTTGAATTTTTTTTATCCAATCATAGGTTTGTTTAGTTAAATCACTTTTTATAACATATAAGCTTAATATCAGTCAGTTTATATTTTTCAAAAATTTTTACCTATCAAAATATCAATTAGCAATTGTAAAAAATATTTCCCTTATTATAAGGAGGATCTAAAGAGTAGAATGAAGTAAGGTGGATTGCAGTCAATCAACCTACAGGGGAATCTAAATGTGTTAAGTTATCTTGGGTGGTAATTTTAACATTTTACACATTTAGATCGGAGGAGTTTACTTGTACAAATTCAAGTTTGATGTGGTTAAAAATGGGCCAACTGAACATCCCAATTTTCATGATATGTCTACAGCCTTGCTGATTTCGCCTCATGGTCCACAAATAATGCTAGATGTAAAGTTGGAGGGAACATTTAGATGATCTCTTTGATTTAGAGAGAATTTAAAAGAGATTTAAGTGTATTAACTTGTTGAATACCCTCAGTTAAGAGTTATTTTAAAATTGATGGAAATTGGTAATAAGAGTAGAAGAGTTTTATAATAATTTTCTACCAAAAACATTTTTAGATTTCTAAAATGGTTATTTACCTATATCGTCCCTGTTTGTGTTTAAATTTTTAGCCGAACTATTGTCAACTATTGTGTATTCTTCGTGAATTCCCCTATCCCACGAGAGAGGGGAATATTTGAACCTGAGCTAGAGAAATATGTAAACCAGCGACCTCTACAGGATTGTCAAGGTGAGAAAGAGAAATATGTGGACCAGCGACTTCTGTAGGATCGTCATGATTGGCCATAGGAACATCAATGTTCTCATTATGAGATATATATCGAATATTTACATTATCATTTTCAGTGTTTTGAAATGGCCCCTTTTTGAGAACTAATAAATGTAGCATTGCGCTTATTTATTTTTCGTTTCTTAACACCTGAGTCAAATTTGTTTCCTCCTATTCCCACTTTGAAAAGTCTTTGGTTGTGAAATAAAGTATTATATGGCGTCTCCTAACAACTCCACTAAAGAGTATTTTTTTATATTAATCAAGTTTATCATTTTTTTAAGGGCCTGAAACTAGCATATTATATAGTATATATTAAATCAAACATTTAATAGTCGAAACTAAGGGTCCAACCAGAGTCAAGAAAATTTTCAAAAAAACTCGACGTTTATACCGTCCAAACTCAATATCGTAAATTTCAATAATTAATTTAATTTTTTTTAAAAGTAAAATTTCTTAATTTAAGTAATAACTTAATCTAAATCAGAGTAATTTAAGTGTATCCAAACCGGAAATGTGTATCAAATATGGTGTATATTTATATTTTATTTTAAAAGGGACTAATTCGAATATCAAAAAGTGCTTCATAGCCATTACAACTACAAGACCTTTACTAGAAAATTGACCAAATATTTTTAAATATAGTCATTTAATAGAAATCGTTTTTGTTAAAATTAAATTATCATATTTATGTACTTACCGATTACCCTTGTTTCTTTGCTAATAGAAAATTAATTTAAAATGTTTTTAAAGATTATTTATAAACTAGTAAGATAGCCCATCAAAAATCAAATGTCAAATGAAAATTTTCATTCAATTACAAAATATTTTATGTCATGTTACCTGTTATTTGAAATATAATATCCAATTTTTATTCTTCTTACAAACACATGTCATCTCTGTCAGCGACCATGTGTTTAATCCCATTAGAGAACTGCAAAGTGATTTTTCGCAGCCTGAGTCCAACCCAAGCCTAAATTTAAAGCATTTTACTGTCCGAGTCCAACTCGAGCCCGAATATTACATTGTTAAATCCATTACTGATCTGACTTGAGCCCGACCCGAATAAAATTTTGCAATTTAAGTTTTAATATTATAATAACCAAAAAAAATTTATGTGTATTTATTCAGTTCAGCCACCTTAAATAAAAGTTTATTTGACGGCCATAATCTATTCAAGATATATATTAAGTTGCATTTTTAAAATTTGTAAAAAATATTATAAAACGATTAATATACAAGCGAATTTAAAAATTATAACGATTATATAATAAGCATCATTAATGCGAATATAGATATGATGTAAAAGTTAATAAATATATAAAAAATATAATGAACATATTATATTATATATTGACCTCATCAATATCATTATCAAAATTATCACAAAGTGAATAATTATGATATATAAATAAAGAGGCGTCCAGTTTATCTGGCTTTAAACGAGTCCTTCTCTCCTCAAAGGCCCTACCAGCAGCTGAAAACGCCCTTTCACTGCTAGCCGACGAAGCAGGGATAGCCAGGAATTTAAGAGCTAAAATACTTAAATTTGGAAACTCATAATGGTTTGTTTTCCACCATTTTAAAATATTATCGTCATCAACACATAATTTCGGATCTAGATATGTTTTTAGCTCGTCAACTTCGGCGCTAGCATCAGAATACGCATTGTCAGCCTCCCATAGAGAGAAGTCCATAAAACGTATCTACCACCTCTATAATATCTTAAGAACACAATCATTTAATAATAATATCAAGATATGATATTTACATTATCATTTTTTAATAATTTTGCATATTTGCATAATTACATACTCATTCTGATATACGATATTTAATTTATAAAATCTTATGTAATTATCATTATTCAACATTGATTTAATAAAATTTGAATTATTTTGAATTTTATTTAGTGATAATAAAATAATTAAAGGAAGTACTGAAATAGAAAATTTTATTTCAGTAATTTTAGGAAAATTTGTCTAACTTTTTATTTGGAAGTAAATATTAATCTAAGATTTTATATTTATTATCTCCAATATTTTTTAAATATATACTTCAAAATTTTAGATCTCAATTTTTAATATGTTTTGAGATATATCTAATCAAAATTTGGGGTAAAATAGACCCCACCTTTGTAGTAGGGAGTTTTTTCTACCTTTGTAGTGAAGGGTTAAAACAAATGTTATAAAAGACAATGTATAGGCTAGTTAAATAATAAATAAAACTTACATAAAATATGTCTTATCTTGTAATTTACGAGAAACACAATTTAGTAATAAAATAGTTTGGTATCCGGTTGTTAGGTTTATAAAATAATAATTAATAATGACATGACATGTTAATATGATTGACATTTTAATCCTAAAATGTGATAAATATTAAATCATATGATTTTATAATTAATATTATAAATTATACTAACTATCTAAGATATTAATATTATTATATATATTTTCGGGTCGGGTCGGGTTTTCGGGTCGGATAGCTTTTACAATCCGATCCGAGCCCGAACCCGAGAAATTTTTTTTGATATCCGAACCCGACTCGAGCCCGATGCTCGGATTTGGTCGGGCTACGGACAGTCCGTGCAGTTCCTATGTCCCGCTATCTGTTTTTTTACAACTTTAAATCGTTTCTTGAGAGCATTTTTTTTTAAATTTAAGAATCTGATTATACCGGAAATGTATTCAGTCACATTTAGAATACCTATCTTATGAATTTCTGACAATGTTGCCTTTAACTTATGAGTCGTTTATAATTTTTATGAAAATCTATTGAAAAACGAATATTATAAGTTCAAAAGTTCACGACAAAATATTCTTAAACTCACAGGGTAGGTATTCCAAACTTGTTGGAATTCTATAAAATTTAAAATAACGCAATCAAAAAATGATTTAAAATTTAAAAATAAAACACATTGTGGGAAAAAACAAATTTACGCTATACAAAAAAAAATTATTAAAATTTCCTAAAAAATAAGTCAATAATCACAAAAATTGGCAACCCTTAAAATTGCCTAATCTCACATTAATTACATCCGTATCTGTTAATAACACGATATCGTCTTCCATAGCTTTTTATGTCCAATTTGAGTTTAAAAAAGTGGCTAGAATAAAAAAAAATAAGAACTCGGCTCGACATTTAATATAATTAAATAGTTTCCTAAATTTTAATTATTCGACAAATATATTAAATAAGATTATTTTTAATTTTTTTAAAAAAATATATAAATAGAGAGGAACGCCGATTTTCCGCCCCATCTCAAAAAAAGAGATAATATCCGCTCCCGAGTTTTGAAAAATGGCGGGCGCATTTTTTAAAAAATTTAGTGCTCCCAACACTACCCAATTATAAAATAGTTTTAAAAGTAAATTAGATACGAAATTGTTTCATATTTTATGGAAAAAAAACCGTAAAATACCGAATAGGTGTATTTACTTAAAATCCAAATCGAAAATCTTTTCTTTATAAATATGGGGCTTAAAAAAATTATAAACCGGGATCGCAAAAGAAAAAATTCACCCAAGGCAGATCGGGCCGTAAATAATAAACCCGGGCCGGAATTTTTTTCAGAAATCCGGGTCAGGACGCGCAAATGATATTTCTGTAGAATACTGATATTTCATTACCATTTTTAGCAATATTATCGCATTTTAAAGTAACATGCAATAAAATTTTTAGTCTAATATTTGTCAGAGCTTTGACAAATTATTTATTATTTTATATAAATAATTATAATTTACATATCTTTTTTATTTCATTTATGGATATATAGTAAATAAAAAATAAGATATTTTAAAAAATAAAGAAATAAATTTTTCTTAAGGCCATGTCCAAAATATCAAAAAAATTCGAATTCGAGAACTTTTGAATATAGAAAAAAATATATATAGGCCATTTTAAATAAGAAATTAATAGTGGCCAAAATAATTTTTCGATTTTTCAAAAGTTTCGAAAGTTTTATATTTTTGATCTTAAAGTTTGATAAGTTTTTAAAATATAAAAATTTATAAATATTTTCTTTTAGTGTCTGATGAATATTTATTTATGGAACAAGTGAGAATGCACAGATATTTATGGTGTACAAACCACCTGAAGTACAGAGATATTCAAGCAAGCAAGGTTAAATGGGAAGAGATTGGTAAAAAGTTCGATCTGAACTATGAACAGGCGAGGAAAAAATTCACAGCTATGAAGGTAAAATTTAATAAGTACTACGCTCTAACATTAAAATCAGGTATGTATATATTATATAAATATATTAAAAAAATTTAAAAAAGGTTGGGGAACTCCCATGCAGATGAGTAGATATAACAAATTTGTGCAAGATTATTATTGGTTAAAAGAAAATGTGAAGGATATTGATAAATATGTTGAGTCAAATTTGAATCTAAAACCACCAAAAATGGACAGTTCAGAAGAAAATTTGGAACTAAGCCCACCAATAGATAAATTTATGGAAGATAGTTCCCATCTAAACTCTTTAAAGGTAATAACAAATCATAGACAAAATGAACTAAGAAATTTATATTTTAGGAATCTAACAGCCAATTAGAATCAGTATTAGTTGTATGTGATTATTAAAATTTTTTTTTTAAAGTGTGATTCATATCTCAATTCAATAGTTTACCCAAAAATCAATGATTTAGGCAATGGCAATCCAAAAAATAAAAAACTTAAAAACCTTGAGGCGGAAAGAATAAAAATATTTCAAGGTAGATATATATTAATTAAATTATAATATAATTATTTAACAGATATATTAAATAAAAAAGAAGAAGCCCCTAAGGATGTTCATCATATCATGGGGTTCTTTGCCTCATTTTTAAATGAGTTGAATGATAAGACAAAAGAAGAAATTTATAATTTTAAAATAAAATTTTTAGAAATTATATCACCATATATATAAATTTTTTTAAATGATATAAAATTATATTTATATTTTTATAGTAATATATAATGATTTTTATATTTTAAATAAAATGATAAATGCACTATACTAAGTTAAGTTCTTAAAACAATTATTATCTTTCTTTTTCTACATTTAAAAATTTCTATAAAATTTTGTTATTTAAGGTTATTTATTAGGTATTAAGAAGATTTCTAACTTTCTCTTTAAAATTTTGTTACATTTATTTGCAAGAAATCTATGGCTATATATTATGTATTACAAATATACTTAACTTTCTAATTTCTAAATAATATTAATTATTTATACATATTAATTCAGACATATTTATTGACATAAATAAGAGGTTATAAAAAATTAATGATTACAATTAAATATTTTTAAAATATATCTAATATTATTAGAGATTTCAGTCCAGCAATGGAGTTGAGCTTGAGTAAAATTTGGCTAAAGAATTCTTTATCTTTGAATATTGTCTATATCTATTATAAAATTATATAAAAGGCAATCTGCCATAACAATTTGAATTGTATTAATTATGTTAGTCTCAGAAAATTTATAAAAATGCTTAAATTTGGAACTCAAATTCACAAAACATTGCTACACTAACACTAGCATGGGATAATTTATTTTTTGGTCATCAAAATTATTTTTATGTTTCATCTCAAACAAATACATATGGTATATCTATTATGGATATAATGCAGCAGATGAAGGAAGAAAATTGGGGTTAGGTATCTTGGTGGTTTTATTTATCATTCCCCCTAATAAAATTTTCTTTTGTGAAGATTCTCCTATCTGTGATGGACATAGGATGGCCACCTTCAATAATCATAAATCTAAAAAACAATATTTTTATATATTAACTATATAATATAAGCTTACTTGGTGGTTTTATGGCCGATAGCACTCAACATGGCACTGTATTTTTAGTTAAAAAAACTGAACCACTATTTTATTTAATTCTCATGTGTTTTCCATCAATTGCAACGAGGATGAGAAAATCCTGATTTTCTCTAATATTCTGCTGAAATTTGAAACATATGTTTAACTATTGATAAAGAGAGATACTTGAGTTGAAAGCTCATCTATAATATCGACATAAAGATGTTACTATTACTATAGCATATACTAATAATTTGTTTACCCTTAACAGTAAAGAATTTTATAAAGCTTATCGCAGTGGTGTTGATAAATACATTTAGCTTATCCCAGTGATTATATTTATAGATGTATTGCGATTTATTAAGATGATAATCTTATAAGGCTTATATAAAGCCGATATTTCATATTTATAATTTTTATCTAATACTATAATATTGCTGTTAGCCTTCAAATTTATTAAGAGTAATCAAATTCCATCTCATGCATGTAAGAACTGTGACAAAATTGGTCAGGAAGAAGGAATATTATACATTTCAAATCAGTGGTGTAGGCATAGGAGTTGGGGGGAGGGGGTTCAACCCTTTAATATACTATTAATAATATAAATGCTTAAAATTTAAAAAACAACTAAATTTATGCTTTTAATTTATAAATAATAAATTTAATCTACCGTATTTAATTATTTTTATATATTTTATAATAAATTTTAAATTACTAAGAATTTTCAAAGTTACGAGTTTAATTTTATTTAATTTATTTTAAAATTTTACATCAATTTTAAAACTAAAAATGTAATGCTTATATAGCATGTTACAAACAAAAAATCAATTTACATATTAATATAATAATTTATAAAAAATCAATTTTCACAATTTATAAAAAAAAATCAATTTATGTAAGCACAAAAAAACAATTTAAAGGTTAGTATTAATCGGTCATATCAACATTCCACCCTTTAAAAAAACGATCTCCATTCAGGTTTTTCTTGCATGTGAATCTTATCGTGCAGTCTGTCATAGTTTCGTCTTGGAAAATGATATTTATTTTGGTTGTTAAATCTTTGGTTGCCATAATATGGTCGAATCTGCCATAGTTGTCTAATCTGATGTTTGTAATTATTTTCATAATGTCTGTTACTCTCAATCTATGGCATGATCTGGGTATTGTCATATCTAATATTAGTTGGTTTTAGTTCGTAATTCTTATCTTATCTTACTCCCTCCAAATAGTTGGAAAACGGTTTAGTTGTTCATATGATTTGACTTTGTCACCCTTCTAGTAATTATTATCATTGTTTGTTATTAAATATATATGCGAAGATTTTGAATGATTTTAGAATGTAGGTATTATTGAATAACGTCGTAATTAAATAAGAATCGTAGAGTAATCGAAATAGATAAATTTAATGAATATCGAATTTGATTAAGAATAATTGAGGCAGAATAAATTTATCAAATATTGAATATTTGGAATGAAATAAACAATTGGTCGCGTTTTATTTTTATTTATTTTTTATTATATTATAAATATTGCGTTTTTATTAATAGCGTTTAATATAATAATTTTTATCAATATTAAATTATAAATTTTATCTTTTTTTAAAAAATATCTTAATTGTAGCTTTTTATATAATAGTTTTTATTAATATTAAATTTAAATTATTTTTATTTTTTAAATTTTGAATTTTAATCCCTTATTTTTTAATATAAACAACTTTTTCATATCATAAATTATCTTTAAATTGTTTTTTCTAAAAGGAATTATATTTCGCCTTGCATTTCTAATATATGATTTCCATATCATATTCTTAAAAACTTTTTTAACATCAAGATGTTCAACTTTCATCTTGCCTCTCTTAACAATAATTGTTTTACATTTCTTTATTTTCACAGTTTTTTTAAATTTTTTATCAATTATAAAAGTTTTTATTTTATTATTTTCTTTAATATTTATATCCTTATTTTCTTTAATGTTTATTTCCTTATTTTCTATAATCAAAAATATTTCAAATTTTATTATATAATTTATCTCTTTTAGTTTATAAGAATCTCTTTCATTTTGAATATTTAGTTCTAATTCAATACTTTTCAATTTTTTGTTACTAAGAGATTTACAATGATAATTTCTTTTATCGTAATGTGTTTCTTTATCATATTTATTGTCTAATTTTCTATTTTTATAATAATTTTCATTATTAGATTTACTAAAATTTTTATTAGAACAATTTTCTTTTATTTCTGTAGCCCATTTATAATTACATAAACACTTTAATGTACACAATGCTTCATCATAACTTGAATTTAACTCTCTTGGAAACACTGCTTTCATGACCAAATATAAATCATCTGGTAAATTACCTATTAAGCTTAGAGTATTCTTACTATCATGAAATATTAAGTAATCTTCTAATTTGTCTATGGACTTTGTTTTATTATAATGTCCCATATAGGTTTATTCATAATTTAGAGATTTATCATTAAAAAATTTTAATTATTTTTCACTTTTCAAATTAATCATTTCTTACGTGTTTTTAGAATGAAATAAACATAACATTCCAGAACTTTTTTAATCTAGTTGTCTATGTTCCAGTAGCAAAAATCATATTGTCTGTGGATTTAGAATATTTTGTGTCATTATAGCCCAATTTTATTTAGTTCGTCTAGTTTGATATATACCTCATCTGGTAGTCTTCTTGTAAAACCTGCTTTTTCGATGTCCGAGATCTGAGTGTCCTTGAAGATGTCTTCGAATCTACTCAAAAAAAGATCGCCATTGCCTGAGTATATTGGAAATTCAATATTTATATTAAGATTATAATTGGGAATCTGTTTAATATTTATTTATTTACTTACGATTTCCTCGAATATGTAGCGGAAAAGTTTTCTGAGCATATAAGTATAACGAGTTCAATTTAATTTTATTAATTTTAAAATTTTACATCCATTTTAAAATTAAAAATGTATTGCTTATATAGCATGTTACAAACAAAAAATCATTTTCCATATTAATATAATAATTAAAAAAAAACAATTTAAAGGTTAGTATTAATCGGTCATATCTCCTGCAAGAAACCTGCTTTATTTGTCATATTCCTTTTAAAAAAATTTATCATTATGAAGTAACAACCATTAATTTATAATTAGACCAATGTTAAGCACAGATATAAGTCCATTAAACTATAATATAAAAGTGTCACTACTATTATAAATAAGATAATCATAATTACAAACACCATATTTAATCATCCATATAACCCATCAGTGGCGTAGCTACGAGAGCAAAAATAAAATTTTTTAGATTATACGTTCAAAAGACTCGAAAGTGACTTTATATCAAATAAATACCATTAATATTTATATTTTTCTGGTTTTTATGATTGCGGAGGGATATTATATTACTATTAAAATTATTCTGGATAGTATTATTTTAAAGTCATTGAGAAAATTTTTTTTGGCTAAAATATTGAGTTAGCTATTTATAAAAATCGGCTAAAATCGAGCCGTTTAACAAAACTAATTAAAATGATCAATAATTCAAGGACTTTTATATTATAAGAAGACAAATATGATTTTTAAAATAAACCCGGCCGAAGGCCGGCAAAAGAGCCGAAGGCCCGTTAAATGGGTTCTGGAGGGCGAAGCCTCCCAGGCTTTTATATGTTTTGATCCCCTGTGGAAAACTTAGCTACGCCACTGTAACACATACAAATAAAAGGCATCTCACCATTAAATGTAAATATACAATCATTATAACCATATCTAATAGGATATAATAATTCATATTGTAGAAAAACGCTAACATAAATTTACGAGATATTGCTTCCAGATGTTTGGTTAACTTTACTTTATGCTTAAAATATGTTATCATAGGTTTTTGGTCCATAATTTGGTTATTTATTCTCCGTTCTGTCATGATGCTAATTTTGATGATTTTTTACTTTTACCAATAATTACTTTCCTCTTTAGACCAACTACTAAAGAAAATAAGCAATATAATATACTACTTAATTTAGTATAAGTTTCTGAATTAATGTTTCCAAAAGATAGGCTCACTTCACATTTAATGCATAAAGTCATAGTTTTCATTTTGTTTATAACTCAGTTTCTTTTCGTGTTTCTTATATTTGTGTGAGTAATTCAAAGTATTAGTCAGGCATTTAATATTAGTGCACGCCAGATATAG